TAGAGGTCGCTAATGAGTTAATATAACCTTGTTGCATTTCTTGCAAGTATTAGCTAAATTGTTTGGGATGATGGAAAATATTGAGCATTCTTCATATTTTGAGGTTGGTATTGGTATGATGTGGGAGGGGTTGCATTTGGGAATCAAGCCTCGCTTCTATGTTTTCTTCCAAATCCACGTGTATATCCGTGTCTCTCCCCGAGGGCACGTGTGAGACAATGAACCTCAATTACGGGTTCCTCATCAACCTCTTCTTGCATTTTGCTTAACTCGTATTGGATCCTTTCCTAAAATAAAGAAAACAATAAACATACATTGAATGTAATAAACAACTAACTTATATATATATATATATATATATATATATATATATACACACGTTCAAATGTCAATTGACATCTATTGTGCGGACCTATGGACAGTGTCATTCTGTGAGAATAACAAAGAAAATATGTTGTTTGATAATGAGAATACGTTCAATCTTACATAACTATTGTCATTATCATGCATTCTCACTAATTAAATCGTCTATAAGGTTATTATAGACTTTTTTTTTATTATTCTCATTCTGTCAGAATGTTGTCAGAATGTTAGTGAGTCGTATTCTGTAAGAATGAAAATGAGTGAAAAACGATGTGTCAGAACAAAAATGATTAAGAATTAGTGAGAATGCATGAAAATGACAATAGTTGTGTGAGGTTGAACGTATTCACATTACTGAACAACCTATTTTCTTAGTAATTCTCATAGAATAACAATATACACACGTCCGCACAATAGTTGTTCATCCACATTATAACCTAGCCATATATAATATATATATATATATATATATATATATATATATCTATATATATATATATATATATATATATATATATATATATATATAATAATATAATAATAACATATTTAAGCATCTCATTAATTTTGTTTATTACAATTATACAATATATCTAAACACAAAAATAAAACAAATTATACCCAAAATCAGTAAAGTAGGATGTAGAAGCATATCATTTGCCTTTTTTCAGAAATATATAGAAAAACAAGAAAGGCCACCTAAATTCAGAAAACCGCAACAACTTCAAGTGAAAGGGGTTGCAACAACTTCGTAGTCGGCGTCTCTCTCTCTCTCTCTCTCTCTCTCTCTCTCTCTCTTGGTAGGCACTAGAAAATATTACCAAAAATAAGAAAAAAACATGAGAAATATCGGAAGAGAAGAAGAGAGAATATGGAACTTGAAGCTTACCTTCAATGTAGGTTGCGACTTCCAAAAGGACGGTGTTGGTTGGTGAAGCAAGATTGTCGATCGAGAGAGAGATGGACGTCCTCCGGTGGTGACTGAACCGGAAAAATGAAAACCATATCAGAAAAAAAAGTGAATTAATTTAGAAAAAAAAAAGAAGACAATAGGAACCAGACATTTTACCTTAAGCACCAAAATGAACTTTGGAAGCCGACAGTGCCCATGTGGTGGTGACGGCCGGTAGTCACCGAAAAAAAACCCAAATAAAAAAAATGAGAACTTATAAACAAATAAGAGAAGAAGGACCAAGAAATGTACCTGGTCGTCGGTGGTGGACTTTGTCACTACAAGAAAAAAAGGAATTAGCCGAGACAAAAATCGCCGGTAAAGGTTAGAAATGTCGTCGGTAAAGACAATAGCGGCGACTTGTTGTCGGTAAAAAGTCGCATGTACTACTGTATCGCTATTGCTCAAACTATCACCGGTAAAGATATTTGTCTCCGTTAATGCTCTTGTCGCCAGTAATACCCGCCATCGCTGCTAATAACCTTGTCACCGCTGTCATCGGAAATAGTGTCGCCAGTAATAACAATTTTCAATTTTTATTAATTTTTTTTAAATCAACAATTTTGAGTGCAAAAAATACGATAAGTAACGAAATTAAAATTCAGAAAAAGAATTACATAACGACATCCGATTAGGTATCAAATAGTGTTATAATTTCATACCAAAATAAACAACCAAAGTGTTATAAATCCAACAAGTACCAAAGTGCCACAAAAAAATTTCAAAACTAAATTTTGCAGTTAATCACAAATACAAATGGAAAGCAACATTAAAATAGAAAGAAAATGAGAAATGAGGAAGGAAAACACGAACCTTGGAGGAGATCGATAGCAAAAGCGCCAAAAATTTTGTGACAGTAAAAATCGCCGGAAAACACGAACCTTGGGGAGTTTCCGGCGGCGTAAAGGCGTCGTCGGTATCTCTTATAGCGACGAAAGTAATTCGTTGTGAGAAATCGTTGTGATCATCCAACGAGTCGTCGTAGAGTAGATGGAAAATTGGGACACAAATTAATGAGAGCTGAAAACAGAAATACGAGTCGTATGCTATCTACATCGACCAATAGCGGCGACAATCAATAGCGAAACCTTTAGCGGCCACACTAACAATTAAACTGTGGCGACTTACATGGAGGGAACTTATGCTGCGTTTTTTTTCAACCTTTAGCGACGATATTGAGTTTGTGCGAAAACGAGACCCTAGCCATTGGATTAGATACTTGATTGAGCGGTTGGGGTTTACAAGAAGGGGATAACATGGATTCGGTCCACAAGGCATTACCGGCGACGCCTTAAGCGGCGATAAAGGCCTTTTGAGTAGACGCTAAAAATCCTTGTCGACGCTAAAAGTCCCTGTCGACGCTAAAGGTGTCGCCGGTAATGCCTTTATTTCTTGTAGTGTGAGGCGGAAACGGAGGTCGTCAATTTCTAACGGAAATCGCCGATTGGGATAAGAGAGCAAAAAACGACGGTGCGGCGAACAGTGTTGCACCAATGAACAAGATGAAGATATAACGCTATAGCCACAACAAGTCGTCTCTATAGCCCAAACAATAACGACATCGTTTCGATTATTTAAACCAAATCAGGAAAAAAAAATTAATCAGCCTATCCAGATGATACGTTGTCGGTATAGATTGATTTTTTAGCGACGACTTATTTCATCGGTATAGGTATCTTCGGATACGGTTATATTCTTGAAGTGTTTCTGCTATCCCTGTTATAAAAGTCTTTTAATCAGGCTTATGACGTATAACATAAGCAAAAAGTCATACTTTTCTAGCCCATGTTGGGGTGTCTAGATGTTACTCATTGTATTTTTCTTGCAGTTTGATTATATTTTAGATAGGAAACAACTGCTATGAAACAAAGAATTTGGCAAAAATATGAATGTTGAGTCTCCAACCCATGACAATTTTGTTCAACTTTCAAGAGTTTCATGGACTACTAGACGGCCGGTTTAATAACTTCATATATTCATTTTTCTTTAAGTAGTGGACGGATGCATCATGAGCCGGCTTCTTTGATATTCACAGGTATTAATTATATCTGATTTCTTTTTATTGATTTAAATGTGACAAGGACCTAATCCTACCAGTAACAAACGAAATCCATCCTTGTCATTGATTAAATACTGTATGTGGACGGCTTAAGAACCACACAACATTATCATTGAACAATATCGTCTCTTCTTTTTTTTTTTACTTCCTTACTTTAAAACCTTGGATATTTCTGGCCACTCCTTGTATACGATTTGTAAACAACTAATTTTTTGTCTTTCTGGAGACAATTCTGCAATGTGCATATTTGAGGCATTTCCTACACCCACCTCTAGTTAACCTCAGATCATCATTTTCTATCCCGAAGAAGAATAGAACTATGGGTCCCGACCTAAGTGGATATCTCCATCTTTTGGAACAACTGAAATCTTACAATAATGTTCCAACTGAGTTGATATATTCCTTGCAGTCTTACACCACTTTAGTATACGGGTCAGATCTGCAAAACAGGTTCAGCGAACCTATGCCATGGATTGGGATATATATCGCCTTAGCATCTCTGTTTTGCGTCATTGCAATGGTGGCTGATTTATTACATGGTTTAAGGAACAGAAAGCTATGGTTTCCTTGCAAATATTTCACATTGAATGCTGCTTCTCTCTCTGTAATAGCTATTGCAATGAAGCTACCTGTGGATTTAAATAATTCAATGCCAGGTGATGTGGACCAGGCTGCAAAGGTTGGAAGCATGGGATTTATGTGCACCATGATGTCTCATTTATTGCCTGCTCTAGCAACCTTGGACAGCAAGGAACTTGTCTCAAACATCATAGCTCTCGGTGTTCTGGTAATCACCTTAGTTGTGAATGTTTGCATTCAAATAGAAACGGGTGTTGTTTCCAGTACTGATGTTCGGTACGTGTTAGGTGATGATTATTATTCAAACTCTGTAGGTTATTACACTAAGCCAATAGCAATCATTTATGTTGCTATGTTACTGATGTTGCTGCTAATGCATGCATGTTCAGCTTTAGCGATTCTAAAGTCCAAACAGATACTAGAAATGAAATACCAAGCAGCTCATGGAACAGCTATGAAGGACCAAGAACCAGGAAGATTAATTGTTGATAAGATAAAGCAGCATGTGAGCAATTACTGGATCATGGCATCAACAGGCAATCCCCAGTTCTTCACAGCTTGCTCTGCTACAAGTTGTGCTTCAGGGGTAATATCTGCTATAAGCACTGTCCTCCATGTTATTGTTATACTTTTTCAATGTTGGATCGCTAGGGGACTTTAGGTCAGATTACAAGTGGTCAGCGTTGGTGATTCTAATAACACAGTTTATCGGGTCAGTGGTGGGTACTATGGCTCCACTTTCTAGATGTTTTGCAGCCTTAAGCTTTAAGTTGTCCATAAAATGGATTTGGAACAATATGAACGTCTTTAAAGTGGAGAGCTACTGGACTCAGACGTTATATGATTTGAAAGAGAGTACAATGCCATTCCTATCTTGTAGCCGCAAATTCAAGATTTTTGTGGAAAATACGAAAGTCATCGTCCTCAGCTTTTGTATAGGATTTCAGAAGACAGTAGTGGTAGCATGCAAGATGATAGGCCTCATCCCCAATTTTCATAGTTATCTGTATCTTTAATTGTTCTTGCTGTTGGAAGTGGTTGAAGTCAATGTTTGATGCATTCGGTATCGTGTTAATAAAAGAGCCTGAGCAACACGAAACAAATAAAATTCTTAGCCATTATGTTTTGCAACTTCAAGAGGATGCAGAGCTTGCTGAAAGAACGCTGAAAAGGATTTCATACTCTTTCGAACGCATTATAAAGAAGGCAGAGAAACAACAACCCTACAATCTTATGAAACTTCTAGAGGGATATAAAGGTTTTGGAAGAGCTGAAAAGTTTGATAGCCATCATGTTCTATCTTTGCTTCTAGAAGAGTCTCCCAATTGCTGGAGCCTACCGTTGGTAACCCTGACAACCATGGCCATCTCTCTTCCTAACATAACAAAAGACAGAGTTGATTGTCTGCTAAGTGGTATGAGTGAAGCTATGGTATATGTCACAATTGTGGAAGCAAGCCTCAATGCTACTGACGACCATGTGATCTTTCAAAAGGCGGCTCAAACTTTGTGGTTAGAAGTTGAGATCTACCAGAAATGGTTAGGAAACAAGCTGCGGAAACTAGTTCCTCTAGTGAATACAGCCGAACAGATTCTTCTGTGGTTGAGGGGTACAGCTAAGAACATGCTCACTCGGGTGGAAAGTAGGGATACTAAAGGCCAAAATGACAGTTCCAAATTCTGGTCTATTTCTGCGAGTTCAATGTATCGTATCACAGAAATGATCCTTCATTCCAACCATTCTAACATTGATAAGGTTAGCCAAGAGGAACTATTTGAGCAATTATCATCAATGATTGCGGACATATTGGTTGCTTGTCTCACGAACTTACCGCAAGTCATAGCAATGAAATGCCACTCGAGTGAAATCGAGAAAAGGGAGGTAAGCGTCTATGCTGCAGCCCAACTTCTAGGTGAGACTATGCAAATAATCAACACCATTCAAGATAGTGAACTTCCAAGCTTGAATCCAGACAACTTACTGTTTATTGTTGACAAGTTGGGTGCCTAGTTAAAGCATCCCTTTACATAAAAACAATTTTTTTCGTGTAACCAAGTAAGTTGATAAAGACATAATTTATTCTCCTATGTAAGAATATCATCTCATGTTTTATTTGCTTCCTTCTGAGATTTCCATAAATATTTATTCTAACTAGAAGGAATTCGGTTGCACCGTTGGCACTGGTTTGAATAATGTTAGGAAACAAAAAGTTGGAAATAATTTTTTGATAATGGCATTAAAAGTTATATAAATAGAATTTGTTTACGTCGCAATTATCCATTACATTCCATGATAGAATGAAAAAGAAAAAGAAAAACATTTACTCAGTAAACAATGAAAAATTAACAAAATATGAAGAACAGAATGGTCCATTCCATTCAATCAAAATAAACAATTTCATTCCTTCCTTGATTTCATCATAAAGATGGTGTACTTATGCATGTATCATGGTCTCTTATATACAAAAGGTCACCACTACACTGCACTCATAGCTTTCTTGCAAAGGGAAAAGCATAGAAATAGAGGTCAAGATCATTATTTCACTTTAAAGTAGCACAAAGGAATGGTTGACAGCAAATGGAAAAGATTTCAATTCCATTTATTTGTTGTTTTTTTATTTAGTTTGGAAATCTATAAAAAGAATTTAAGTGAAAATTATGGTAAATGACCAAAACACCCTTTAGTGATTGGACCAAAAAAGAAGATGAAGTTAACAACACAGTAAACAAATCAATATAGAATCTTGCTATGAAAAGCAAAATAGCAAAAAGTTTCGGTTTCGGACTAAATCCAGTAGAAAGCATATACCACAGGGACTATCTTTTTTGTAAATTATTCAATAAACAATGAACTTATATAAAAAGATAAAGAGTACAGGCGTCCTGAAAGCGTAAATGTACAGAGTATACTTTCCACCATTGATTTTACTGCGTTCTTTCATTCTTGAAACTAAAGTTTGACCCATTGTCAATAAAGGGCTTGAAAATCTTAAAGCTACATAATTTGCCAAACATGGAATGCGTCGAACATCAGGAGGTGCATGGAATGATAATCGGATTGCAAATGGTAAAATCTTTATAAACGTGAGGCTCATTTAACACATTAAAATATGATTAGATGATAAATAATAACTTAATTAAAAAAAACTTACTTTTCTTCTAGAAGGCTTGGAAGAACTGTGTCCATGTAGTACCGAACATGTAACACCGTAAATTTTCAAACCAAAAATTTCATTTTAAACACAATAAACTCATATCACAATTTCTCAAAAACCACAATTATCCCAAGTGTCATCAAAATCCACAAAATAAAATCACTATCCCAAAATCATAAAAATACTCTCGCTCCAATGTGTACTATCAAGTCGGCGTCTTCCCGTGATCCTGAGAAATACCTGAAACACATAACACATAACACTATAAGCACGAAGTTTAGTGAGTTTTCCAAAATACCACACATATCTCATTACCCTCCGGTCAATGTGTCTCAGTCGGACCCTCTGGTCCCACAACTCAGCTGGACCCTCCGGTCCCTCAACTCGGCAGCTCAATATAATACACAACATATATATCACAAAGACAATAAGCAGGATATCTCAATACACAGTATATGCACATAAGACCCTTCGGTCACACATAGATTACCACTCAAGGTAAGTATAGTGAGAAGACTCACCTCGTAAGCAAGCAAGTAATAACGTCGTACACGAATCTCGAACTAGCCTCCGCCTAACACATAGGATAAATATCTATAATTAATACTCTATCTACTACTCCAAATAAACTAAAGGTTATTCTTTGTCTCTCTAACTCTTGAAGCGAGTAAAAGACCATTTTATCCCTCAATTGTCTCCATTTCTCATGTTTGACCAAACCCTAAAGTCAACAGAAGTCAAACTCGAGTCAACAGTCAATGTTGACTCAACTCGTCGAGTGCACTTATGCAACTTGTCGAGTCCTCTTGACTCCTCGGATCTCTCATGAAAGTCCAGCTCAGCTCGTCGAGTTGACCTCCAACTCGCCGAGTTATCGCATGCTCAGCTCATCGGGACAAACCCTAACTGACTCGTCGAGTCAATTCATAGACTCGGCGAGTCCCTTCAATCTGATTTCTCATTCAGACATTTTAAAGCAGATCTATCACTCCAAACACTAGATCTAGCATCCCAGGACTCGATTGTTACGTAAAGCTTCGATCTTTACGTTCATGCATGGTACTTTTGCTCCAAAATACCAATACATGTTCTCACAAAGTGTTAAGCATAATAACCCTCATATGGATGAATAAAGTTGAGACCTTTCGACTTTAGGGACCTCACAAGGTCTAGATCTGAGGTCTAAACCTCATGATAATTTAGTATGCTTGAAGTCCCAATTAAAAGGTGGTAGAAACCCTAATCTTCCATAACCATGAGATCTAACCAAATAAATGAGAAAGGTGCATGCTTTTTACCTTCCACTTGAAGCTTTGGACGAATTGGTCCTGGATCCCACAGTTCCTCCTTGTTCCTTGCTGGACAAACTCCTCTTCTCCTCAAAAGATGCACTAAAATTCCTCAAGATTAGCTTTGAGACTCTCTTAGCTCACTACACTCGTTTAGGGTTTCACACAGGGAGGCTGGGCAACTGGTGAGGCGCAAATGAGAACATAAGTTCTCTTAAATAGGCCCTAAACCCGGGGATTTAGGGTTTCATCTCACAGCGCCAACTCGGCGAGTCGGCTCTCTGACTCGTCGAGTTAGTCACTTAACCCCTGTGACCAATCACCACTCTACTCGATGAGTTGAGGCACCAACTCGCCGAGTTACTCAATAAAACCCAAAAATAAATATCTAAATAATATAACTGGGAGTCTGGATGTTACAGAACAGGTGCCCAAACCTTTATTTTGAAGTTGAAAACATTGGTTAAATTCCAGTCAAACCTTTCCATTAGGTATCCAGGTACTGTGTTAACTATTCGTACGTCGTTTTCCAATATTTTAATGAAAGTTTTTCTTCATCATATATGTCACTAAACTTACTGCAATACAACAAAAAACACATAAATACTTTCAAATATATGTATATATAACAATAAGCAATTATAGTAATTAGTAAAAGAGCAGGTTTACAAACCTGGGATCTCTCCAAATGCTATGGAAATGAAAATTTGGAATGACAGGTGTCGCGTTAAGGTAACATGCCACAACAACTGCATTGCAAATCTAGAGACATAGAATTTTGTGGGTGAAAAAACTCATTAAATTTTGTCAAACGCCATAGACTTTCATCGATGCCATTAAGATAATCCTCCATCCGATCGACCCATTGATCACAATACTCGGGAATCAGCATCGGAATCTTCGTTGCAGATCCAAGAAAATTCGCATAATTCATCATCATGTTCACATTGAGGTTAGCCATTTGATTTTATTCAATAAAAAGAGAAATTTCTAGAAGAAAATTGATATGATTAACAAATCAATTGATAGAAACAATAGCATAATCAATTAATCACTTATTGATTAAGTGAAGAATTGTGTTTTCAAATAGCGGAATATTGAATCGGAATGAGCGATTCAAAAAAATGAAAAATGCTACGCAAATTCTTCAATAAAAGAAGTGAATACCGCTCCGATACCAATTAAAGAGTGTATGAAATAATGTTTGAATCAATCGAATATAAGAAAGCAATAAAGAACACGGAGATCTAAATAAGATCTGCTTAGCTCCGGTTACGTCTGGAATAAGTATAAAGGTTTTGCATACAAAGAGTACTCTAAGAGTGTTCGTTAATCTAGACCTAAGCACCTACCATATTTATAGGGTACCTTAAAGACACAAAAAATAAAAGGACTGAACATACAATGCAAAACCAGTAAATGCCTTATAAATAGATATGATACTGAAAGCACTTAACTTTGGCTATTTACAGACGCGAAACCTAAAGACATAGCTTTCAACTACTCAATAAAAATTTCAACTCTACATATACATTCCTTACAACTCGAGGACTCTAGAACTTGTACAACACTCCAAGTTATTGACATATGGACAGGGAAACGCCTAACAGCGACACCTGACTCTCAGAAGTTCCCAACATTGTGTAGTAGTATAGAATCCCTGTAAATTACTATACTATTTAGAGTAATGTAACACAACACAAACCAAAACGAGAATTTTTCGTGATTAAGCAATATACAATATCTGAATTATTTTATAAGTATTAAAATAATCAGTCGTTTTAGAATTATTCTTTTGAACAACATGTTAATGGTTAAAAGTAAGTATCCCCAAGTTAGTAAAATTCGCATATACTCGGATTAGAACATGGTACCTTAAATTTAAGAGGCATATGAAAGATCTAGTATGCTCAAGAATCATATTAAAGCGATATTGCTAATTCACATATGATACTAATAGGTCACACTAACAACAACTTGATACAATTGATTATCTGTTAGAAATTGGTTTTAATAAATATTCAACAATCTCTTATAATTAAATTGGAAATTATTTATTTCTAGGAAATAATAATTTTCATTAGCAAGTAACATTATATATAATTCATATGGTATGAATTAATAAGTCATGCACAACATTTGGACTATATAAATTCTTTTTTCTTTTACCAAAAAGTTAAAGTTTATATTTTATAAACTTGGTTTATAAAATATAAAAGGTTTTTGTTTTCGTTTGCCTTTATAATTTCTAAAATTGGCTAGATAAAAGAGAGTATGGGCTTTTCATTTGTTTAATGAAAAGAACACTCCTCTAAAAAGTCAAACATGAACAATATGATTAAAATAAGGAGTGATTGTCTTTCGATTAATTTATTCAAAAGAAGGGCATGGCTTGAAGCATGGTGAACACATAGGCTTTAGGGGCATGGGTTCTTAAGGTGTTAAGAACTTATGGACCAAAGATTTTCTATATAAAGTGAGGCTTTCATATCTCTTTCACCACTCATGCAAAAGATTGTAAATATGTATGTATGTGTGTTTCTCTCAAGTTTTAGTTGAAGACTTGG